AAATAAATAAATAAATAAATAAATAAATAAATAAATAAATAAAAATACCTGTATTTTCCCTTCCTCCATCAAATGAAGCTCATATATGATTTTGGGTCCTTTTGGATTACACCTCCCACAGTCCCACTAGCTAAGACTTTTGGAAACTGAAGTCCAAAACTTCTGGAAGGCCTAATTCCCCAACCCTTTCATAAACTAATAACCAATCACTGCAAATAAATTCTCATAGAACTACCAAGAAGATACACTGGGAAGTGAAATTAGGCTTGCTGCCTTTCAGGACAAGGGCAAAATTTTATCTAACATTTTTATAAAAATTAGGGGATTTATTTTAGGAATAGAACAGGATGAGGTTTGATGGAAGAATGGTTAAACTCTCCAATTTGGAGTGTCGCTGCTTGAATCAAATTGGATCTATGGTGTATGTCATACCTATTTCAGGTCTGGCATGTCTATCAAGAATCCTGCAAACTGGAGCATCCAAATTAGAGACATCAGCACAACTACAGAATTACCATTCCCTGCGGAGTTTAAAACCATAATGCAAACAAGGCTCCTTGAGAGATAAAACACAGCAGATCCTTGCTCCACTATCTAATCTCATTTTCATTTCCCTTGCAGTTTATATGGAATTACAAAGAATATTGACCTGTTTCCTGCACTGATGGTGGAAGATCTTGTCCCAGGGACCAGAGTGGGACCAACTCTCATGTGCTTATTAGTGACCCAGTTTAGAAGACTCCGGGATGGGGACAGGTAACTTAGCATTCTGACTCACATAACCAAAGCTCTTTATCATTCCAGGTAAGAAAGCTGTTCCTTGAATTAAGAAGACATATCCTCCAACAGTCCCTATTTGGCAGGGGGAAAAAATCGCAATTAATCCTTTGCCATCCCATTTTTTCAGCTACTTTTAAAATGTCCCAGCAGATGAGGAGTTGGAGTCTTGCCTTTCCCAATAGGCTCAGGAAAAAGCAAACTGCTGCAGCCAATCCTAGCTGGTCCTCATTAATAGTTCTTGCCATCTTGACTGTACTATGATGTTGCTTGACCACACATGACCTGGTTTTCATCTGTGAAATGTTGGATGGTATGAGAAGACATTCAAGGATGACTGTCTTCCCATGGTGCCTGGGAAAACTGTGTTTTAGGGATGGGAAAAAGGAGGTTTTTTTAAAAAAAATCAGGGTTTCTCTTTTTTGGTTTACACCAGGTTTTGTTTTATTTTGGGGGTTTTTTTGCATCAGTGTATAGTACTACACCAATACAGGACTAAATCAGAAAATTAAGTAGCAAAATGCAGTTCAGAAGCTTCAATAATAATAGATCTTTTTAAAAGGCTCTTTTAAAGCAGGTTGTTTTGATTGAACTTATGTTAATTGAAGGATTTGTTTCTGAATGGCATTTCATGCACTATAAAATAAAGTGATTAAAAAGAAGCAACTGAAACTGGATAGTGGTCTAACAATGAATAGCTGCCAATAAACTATTAAAGTTAAAATCTTTACATTCAAACAGTCATTGTTGTTCCAGTAACAGAGTTGGTAGTAATAATAGCCAGACTTTTTAAATATATATGTGAATAATCAATAAAAAATGAGTGTTTTTAAAAGAAGTCATTTCAACCCTGCCTGTGTTCCATCCCTCATGTCTTCAAGTTGAAAGGAGACAGTGCCTGCTCAGTAGTAGCACCTTATCTTAAAGGTCATTTTTGCACCTGATGAAGACCTTCTTTATTCTTCCAGGCATTTTACAATCTGTTCTGAGTACTTTTAAACTTTACTTCCCTATTATCTTGCTGTAGGATTTTCTTTTGAGTTCATATGCTATAGTTTGTTGGGTTTATTTTTTTAAATCCTTTGCTCCTGGTTTTATCCAGGCTTTATTACATGGTGTCTATAGTTATTATTTTATTAGCTGGACATTATATTTTTGATGTCTTGCACACTGCCTAGAGAGCAGGTATCATGCAATCTCAATGGCCTTTCATGCCATCTCAATGGCCTCTCATCTCTTGTTTGCTGCTAGTTGATCAATAGCTGACAGTCGTGCTTGCAAATTTCCCATCAGGTTTTGGTATGAGAATCCAGGGGTGTTCACCTCGGCCCAGCTCACACAGATAAGACAGGCATCGCTCGCCCGTATTATCTGCGACAACAGTGACCACATCCAGCAACTCCAGAAGGATGTATTCCAGGTTGCCTCCTATCCACAGGGCATGGTGAGCTGTGACAATATCCCTGAAGTGGATCTACGCATGTGGCAGGATTGCTGTGAAGGTAATGGCTGTGATGAGAACATCATGGGGATCAGACTGTAGCTCAGTGTTAGGGTACCAGCTTTGTAAGCAAAAGGTCCCCAGTTCAATCTTCAGCATTTCCAGGCAGAGGTGGGAAACTCCTGTTTCATGCTTTAGAGAGCTGCTGCCAGCCAGTGTCAACAGTAATAGCCTAGATCAGGAGTAGGCAACCTTTTTGAGCCGGGGGCCAGATTGCTGTCCCTCAGACAATTGGGGGGCCGAAGCACCAAAAATAAATAAATAAATATAAAATTAAAAAAAAATTAAAAAATTAAAAAAATATGCATGCACACTCTCTCAGCCCCAGAAAAGCCATGACAAAACCCTGTGGAGATTTTGCCAAGAAAACCCCAAGAACAAGTAATAACAATAATAATATCATCATGGCAGGCAGTGGCGGTGGCGGGGGGCAGCGGTGGCAGAATCGGCCTGGGGCCGGTCCAAAGGCCTCAGGGGGCCGCATCCGGCCCCCGGGCCTTAGGTTGCCTACCCCTGGCCTAGATGGACCAGCAGACTTGCTGAGAATAAGGGTAGAAGCATAAGAATGTAGAAATGCCGTAAATTTCCAATTAAATAAGCAGAACCCAGAACTGTTTCATCTTTAGTGCTCTGTGGCAGAGTACTTAAGAGAGCCAGTGTAGTGTAGTGGTTTGAGTGTTGGACTGCAACTCTTGAGACCAGGGTTCAGTTCCTTGCTTGGCCACAGGAATCCACCGATTTAGGGCAATCCTATCATGGGGTTTTCTGGGCAAGATTTGTTCAGAGGAGGTTTGCCATTGCCTTCCTCTGAGGCTGAGAGCATGTGACTGCACAAGGTCACCCAGTGGGTGATGCTATGACCATGCTTTTTTCTATTAAGTCAAAAAGCATCAAGCACATGTTTACTTCCAATAACAAGTGGAAAAGAAGTCACTAGTCTCTAAAGTCACCAGTTGCTAAAATCTTAACCCCCACTCCTCCAAAACTGATGTGACCTTTGTAATATAGCAAGATTCCATTGCCTTTTTAATACATGTAATGAAAAGTCATCTGCATTTACCAAATGTAAGCCAAGCTATTAGTCATTCAGACAGCAGCAACATCCTGTTTTCTGGTTGAAAGTTTTGGAGCACAGCCAGATGTGTATCCACCACTGCACAGTTACAGCAGTTCAATCCCACTTTAATTACCATGGCTCCATCCTATGGAATCATTGGATTTTATAGAGAAATGGAAGGTTAGTGTGATGACATTGGAGAGATACATTCAGAAACTTTCAAATCCCACTATTGTCCTAAAACTATGCTTTCTCCTCTCCCCCTCCTTCCCAAGATTGCAGGACGAGGGGGCAGTTCAGGGCACTCTCACAACATTTCCGAAGCAAGAGATCTTCTGGCTTCAGCTACCCAGAAGAAAACCCTTCCAGTATCAAGCCTGGCGATCCAAGGTACCATATCCTAATCAACCTATTCTTTTCCCTTCACAAAAAGCGGGGATATCAAGATAAGGACTCTTTTTTTTCATATGTGGTGGCCTTGCAAGGAATCAAAAAGTTACTCGTCTTAGATCTGTATGTTAATCCAAAAAAAAAATTAAAAGTAGATTTTGTAATGTCACGAGAAATATTTTTGCTAGGCATTATAGATGAAGAACTGGAGTATAAATATGAATTACTTCTTCGATCTATGACAACAGCAGCAAGAATCTTGTTTGCTCAAACTTGGGAATGGATGGAAGAATGAATTGTTAAGGTCACTAAGTTAGCCAAAATTGCTAAATTAACTTGGGTTCAAAAGATAAGCCAATTTAAGATTTTTTTTTTTTGAAAGACTAGAAACCGTTTACAGATTTTTTGAGCAATAAGAAATAAACAATGTAATAACATATGGTTATATTTTTAGCAATTGCAGTAGTAGTATTTATTTGGATCTGCAATGGTAGAATTTTTCCCCTTCCCCCTTTCTTTCTCGTTACGGTCAGGATTTGGGGAGGGATGTCAGAATCCTATGGTATATTATTTGTCTCCTTTCTTTCAGATTTTCTCAGCTCTCTTTACACTGCATAATTACAAGACTCTGCTTTCATTTTAATTGCTATGCCCCATCCTGTGGAATCTTGGGATGTATAATCTGGGGGAACTAGACATCTCTAGCAGAAAATTCTAAGCACCTCATCAGACTGCAAATCCTAGGCTTCCATAGGATGCAGCCATAGCAGTGAAAGTAGTGCCAAAGTCCTCTAATTGTGTAGTATGAAAGAGACTTCATTCTTGAGAATGGCCGTTCTTGTCACAAAATGCCCATTCTTGGGGAGTTTTCTCTTCCAGAATGAGAATGGGACAAGGAATGTGGATTTTTTCAACATGGCCTGTGCATTTCTAGAATATGTACAGAAAGTTTCTGTGTAAAGCCACTTTTTTCCCCTTTGTGAAGCAAAATACACACACACCAAGGGAAGGGAAAAGAACATCTGTCTAACTGATGCAGAAGGTGCAAATAATTCCATCCAGTGTTTCTGATTTGTAAAAGTCCATGCTATAAGCTGCTATAGTAGGGTTTCTGCACTTTGTGCAAAAATTATTCCCTCACATTCAAAACTTCTCATCAGCATGGGAAGAAAATGTTGAGCCATCTCACAGGTGAAATGTTGGGGTTTCTTATTCTCACACATTAAAAACAAAACAAGAAAAAGATTTCTATCTACTCCAGTAATTCTGGATCAGTAAAACTCAATGCAGATCATTAGCAAAATAGGCAAATAGTCATGTTGCATTTTTAAATTTTATATGTGTTTTGGATTGTCCAGCAAAGCATTTCATATTTGCTTATATTCTCTGTGGGAAGAAAGATGTTTTGATCATCCTGTAATGGATATTTAACATTTCTTTATGACAACTGCACTCCTTTGTCTTGTTCATAGCATTACAGGCCACTCACTTGAAAGACTCCTCAAATGAACTCTTTTGCACTTATTCTTGCAGGATGGAGGGATTATCTCAGAACCACTCCCCAGAAGAGGATGTTGAAGCTTTAGTGAAAGACCTAGAAGAAACTATCTCCTCTCTTCGGAAGCAGGTAGATTTTCTATTTGGGAGAGAGAGATCTGAGATCAGAATATAACATCCTCTAAGATCAGTGGCCACTGGCGGGAGTGGGTGCTACTGCCACCCTGCAATCTTTCTCAGTCTGGTAGAGCTGCTGGCTGGGTGGGAAAGGTAAGACACTCACTTTCTCTCTTGGACAGCAGACCAGCTAAACTAGAAAGGCAGCCCCTTCCCACCAGTTCACCTGTTGACACCCCCTCTGAGTTGTCACTTGGTGTGGTCTGCACCCCTTGCACCCTGAGTGATGCCCCTGGATCTAAAGGAGAATGTATGCAGTGGAGTTTAGTAGATCTTGATAGAGATAGTGGTGAATCCACTTTGGGATTTATATGACATTTGAATGAGCTATTCAGAGTCCCAAAAGGCTTGGCAAGCTTGGATAGCCCTTTTAATGTTTCGACTAGAACTTGAAGAGGATTCACCAACCCACTGGACATGAATCACCAACTAGCACTACACGGTCTTCATGGCTATGGGGCAACCACTGGGAAGATCGAGCTCTCGTCTCTAGCAAGCTTCTTGTGCTCTGAAAACGCCCCGATCACTACACACATAATACACCTCACTCTCACATCTGCTTTGGCCCAGAAAGGTTTCCATTTCATCTTCTTGAAATGACATCCTTCCTGGAACTCTCTGGCTGAAAGTCTGCATCAGGGAAACATCATATAAAATTCTGCCAGTTGGAACTGCACCACGTCTCTCATCCTAGCTGCAAGATCCACAACATGGCCATAAACTGACCTGTGGAGAATGGAAGACAGTAGATACATTAGCAAGGCATCCTCCAGTATTTCGCAGGGGTCTTCCTGAGGTTTTGGAGGATGACATCATTGCTGTATGTCCAGATATAGGAACATAACGAAATAGTTCACTGTTGCCTACTGTCCACTGGCTAGTAAGTGGCCATATTGACAGTGCTGCAGCAGGTGAAAAGTAGGTTTGCAGAGCTGGTTGATCATTACATTGTAATGGTCGATCATTACATGAAGTCCAACCCCCAAAACAACCAAAAAAATGACTTATGCCAGTGGAAGTTGGGTGGTGACTCTCCATCTTTGGAAGCCTTTAAATAGAGGTTGATAGACATTTTTCAAAAGTGGTTTAGTTCTTATTCATTCATGGCAGAGGGGTTGAACTAGATGACCTTTGTGGTCCCTTCCAATTCTAAGATTCTAAGTTGGACTGAACACCTGTGTAAGTTAGACTCATGCCTGTATAAGTCTCTAACAGGATGCCAGCCCCTCTTTCCAGATGAAATTTACTGGCATTAATCAATGCCCCTCAGTTGTATCCTGTCCTCAGATGCAGTGCTCATCTATGAATTACCATCTTGTTCCCTTTGCTGTTAGGTCAGTGGCTTGGAAAGAGAGATGAGAAAGCATCAAAGAAGGACTGCAGCTAAATATGGTCATCAGCAGAAGACTGGAGACAAGTGGAGCAAAAGATGACCCACTCTGCATGGTGAGGGGACCATCCATACTGAATGTGTGCATAGGTGTTGGTTATCCCCAGCAGCAGATTGGAAATTCAAGAGTAACTTTTATGTTTGCTGTTGTTAATTGTTGTCAAGTCATCTTTGACTCATGGTGACCCTATGAATGAGAGATCTCCAAGCTACCCTGTTATCAATAGCCCTACTCAGGTCCTGCAAACTCAGGTCCATGGCTTCCTTGACTGAGTCTATTCACCTGTAATGCCTTCTTCTTCTTTCCCTACTGCCTTCTATTTTACCAAACATTATTGTCTTTCCCAGTGAGTCATGTCTTCTCATGATGTGTCCAGAGTATGAAAGTCTCAGTTTAGTGTAGGGAGAGATCTGGCTTGATTTGCTCTTGGACCTATTTACTGTCACCTGCATCACCAAACCTGAGCTTCACTTTATCTTCATGGGTTTTCTCTGGGAGGCAAATATGAGCAGGGGAACCCAGGAGAATCTTCATGGCAAGAGTGATGGTTACAACAAAGGAGGATCACCCGTGATAGAAAAGGCACAAAACAAATATAAGTAAGGAAATCAAGGGTTCTTCCAGAAGGGTCTAAAAAGGCATGAGTTCTTGTGATATAGCTCTTTGTATTCTAATTGATTCTGCCAGGTTTTTAAGGTTGTTGTCACCTCTGCCTCTGTTTCTTCCATTCTTTTTAGGGTCTATTTGTAGTACAGTTTTAGAGCTCTTCCAAATGTATTTCAAAACAAGGACACAGTGTTGAGAAGGCCACCCTTTGGCTTGTAAAGCAAATTTGCTCCTCTCTGATTCTTTTTTTAAATATAGTTATGGTGCTACATGGCAAAAGTGATTGATCTCATCCCACTTCAGGGTCAGCTCTGCCATTGTCGAGAAGACTAGACCAGCCATTCGTTCATGTCTAGAGTTATGTTTGTTCCTTGGAAGCCTTGGCCACAGCTGTTTGGACAAGTCAAGGAACAAAGAAGCTGAGAAGCATGTAGTGTGTTGGCTTTGCCCTTTTCTTGGGAGATGAGAGTGGACGATTTATCCTCTTTCTTTACGTTGCATTAAAGCAAAACCATATGAGAAATACTTTCACACTTCACTTTTAAAGGCCTTTAAAAGACAGAAGAATAATATGGGGCGCTGCAGAGCAAAAGAGGCAGGAACGGT